CCATGCTTCCCAACCCCCCCATTGGGGGCCCAGCCTCTTCAGGATTATGCTGGTCTCATTTCCCTAGGAATTTGCAGGAGCTGATCTTGGGCTTCAGTCCTAAGGTCACTTCTAAGCATTTCTCATTGTCCTGGGGGAGAATCCACAAGTTAAGGAGGGTAGCAGATCTGGCCCAGAATGGCTCTTTTATCTGGTACAAGCCTGCCCACTCCCCAGTTCTAGTGAGCTTCTGTAGTGTACAGTGTTTCCATGTAACTCGGGGCATGGTTATCAGTCAGTCTACAGAGTCTGGACATGTTATTGTTATCCAGGGACATGTCAGGGTGTCTCCACCCCCTTCACCAGAGATGAAAAACTCATTACCATTGGTGACTATTCAGACCACTGTCTTCCACAAAGATCCATACCCCTTGATGGTCGTAGGGACAATATATTGAAAATGAGATTCAAACCTCATCTGTGTCCAGGTAGCCTTTCCCTCTACTCTACTTTGTGAGCTCATCGTCTCCCCAAATTGGAAAGTTTAAATCCCTGATTATTCTTATCATAATAGGAATGGAAAAATTCAAGCCCTATGTTTTAGTGTTAAAAAAAAAAAATCTAAGTAGCTTCAGTTTGTAGGTAGTCAAAGAAATGAGTGAAGCTCTTCCCAGGAAGCATAATGCTGTTACTAATGAAGTTTACTGGGGCATTTCCCTTGATGTGGGTATCAGTGTCTGAGTTCTGTGGGGCCTTTCCATGAACATTAGGGTCAGACCATCATGGTCTCTTTGGTAGAATAGAGGAAATCAAAGACATTAGGATATCTGAGCAAAGACACCAGAAACCACAAAAGACAAAAACATTCTCTGTCTCTCTCTCTGTGTGTGTGTGTGTGTGTGTGTGTGTGTGTGTGTTCCTCTTCATCTCCGTCTCTCTCTGCACGTGTGTGTCACACACACACACACGCACACGCACACACCACACACGATATTTTTGCCTTCCTATAAGGATTGACTTTGAGACGAGAAGACACCAACTGCAAAGCTGCTCTGACCATGTTTATTAAGGTAGAGGAAAGTTGCCAGCACTAGGGTTTCCATCTCTCATCGAAGAGTACATCTTGTCAGGCAGAGTCATTCCAGGCTCACCTCAACCGAATGCTGTCAGGGCCCCCTGGGAAAGAGAAGCCAAGCTTCAGAGTGCCCTGATTGCTACCAAGGAGTGAGGAGAGGACCCAAGCACACAAGGTTACTCAAGACATAGAGGCATGACTGCTGATTCTGGGGAGAGTTCCTGTGAAGCCCATGGGGAAGGGGCCCTAGGACAAGTGTCATGGCCTGCTGGCAGCCATGTGTGAAAGGTCTGCCCTGATGAACTCCTTGGGCTCTTCGCAGGTTGGTTAGGATATGGCTTGCTGGAGCAAAGCAGGAAGCCAGGATTCCCTGATAGAGCCTGGGCTGCCTCCTATATGATTATGAAGGTGACTGGGGAGGGGTACCCACACAGGGAGGGAGAGCCATGCAGGGAAGATGCCCATATTACCAGCAGTGTCTTCACAGCCCCTACAGCCTCAGGGCCCAGCTCAGTGACACATTTCCTGGAACCGTCTATGAGGGGATCCACTGGAATGCCCAGGCTGGCCAGGATAAACCTCAGGATGCTAAAGCGACTTAATGGTAGACTAGGTACAGCCCCGGCCACAGCCTCTGCAGCTGGGGCAAGGTCAGCCACGGGTTCCACCACAGATTTGGCCACTGAGTTCATGAAGAAAGCAAAACCTGCAAACACAAACAGAGTCCAGGGCCTTCTCAAGGATCCTGAAGACCCAACTCCTCCAGGGAGGGTAGCCAAGGAAGACTTCACAGCCACCCACCTACTTCCTGATTGGTGACTGCCCTGTGTCAAAGGGGACACCAACAGAAGTGAGGAAAGGACCTTGTAATGGGCCCAGAGAGAGGAGATGGCTGCAGAGAGAGCCATGGAGGATGGAGGATTTCAGAGTTGGGTCCATTCCTACTGTGCCTTTAATGAATGAGGGGACATTTATCAGGCTTAGAACAGATGAGATGGGCATTCTCAAGCCAGGGCTGGCCTTTGCCTCAGTCATCTGGCTGGCGGGTGAAGAGAAGCTGCCAAAGGTGAGTAGGCATGTGAGAGGCAGCTGGAGGGCTCGGGTGGGTCTGATAGCAGAAGGCTTTGAAGGCCACAGGAAAGAGAGAGGAAACCCTCAAAGGGGCAGGTAGAGGAGTGTCTGGCTTCCTCTGGAGGCACTGCTGCTACAAAAACTACCATCAGCAGCCTACTGCACAAGAGTAGGGGGCTATAAGGCCCAAAGCAGCTAGAGTAGGTAGGGCTCAGGAAAGAGCAGGTTCCGATGGCAAGTCTCTCCATAGGAGATGCCAAGCCCCAAGGGAACTCACCAGAGTCACTGAGCAGAGCCACACAGAACACTAGGAAGATGGCTGTAAGCTTCATGGCGGAACAATACCCAGACGATGCTCCTAAGACACTCTTCCTGGAGCCTGCTTCTGAGGGTCTCCTCATATATCCAGTGGTGGAACCTCACCCTCCTGAGAAATGTCTTGTTTGTTCAACTAATAGACAGAGCTTCAGCCAACTTCCTCCTCTGGGCAGTAGACCCTGGGAGGACTGCACATCCCACCTCAGTCCTGGGGATTTCCTCTTGGCAGGGTCTCCCGAACTCAAGTGCTGAGCCTTTCTTCCTGAGAGCGGGAACTGGGGATGTGCTTTGTCTCCATAGGACCCACCCAGGCCTACACCTAGATACTGTGGTCTGACCCCACCTCAATGTCACCACAGTCCAGGTCTGGGGCCCATGCTTGGTGGGAACAGGCTCCCCACAGGTGTGAAAGTGTCAAACCATTATGCAGGCTCTGGGGCTGGAAGCCTAAAGAGCACAGTGTAAATCGGCAGGTCCCCAGGACCCCAGGAGCTATTGGTCCCTGGTCCTAGACTATGGAAATGTCACAGTGGCAGTCTTTTAAGTTTCTGCTGGTCTGGAAGCCCTGGTGTGTTGGAGCTGGAAAGCAAAGCCTAGAAGCCAGCC